GTTATCAAAAATATTGGTGGATGAGTTTTGATCGCAAGCGGTGTCGGAGATTTGCTGAATACGGCCGGTAGATCTGAACAAACTATTTCATCCGATAACAGACAAATATGACAAATCGAAGCATGGGTTTAAAAATGATCTCATGTAGCCAGTTGTTTGCATTCGACAGGTAATGACTCTAATTGAGAGACCTGCAGAAATTTTCTGCAGTCACATGTACAAATGGGTCAATTATGTTATTCTCCTAGGTTCTAAAAATGATTCTAAATATCTCAGCATGTAAACGGTCAACACGTGCTCAACTTTTAATTTTGTGAACGAATTATATTTTTTCCAAGTTAAGGCCAGTAGAAATTGTAAAGCACAAAAAATTGAACGCTCACCTCTAAACGCTCATTCAGAACGTAGACTAGGCCATCTGATGAACTTTTCCCGCTAATTTCCCCGTTTGGCCTATGACACAGAAGTTCTCAAAGATGAAGATCAATTGACCCGACATTTTCCTTTCAGGGAATCAGCAGTAACACCTCATATCACTACATCAGCAGTCGCCGCTCAAGTTATGAAAGCATAATGAACGGATGTCGAACTCAGAATATTGGCTACACGATTGCTAACGAACACGGGCTGTTTGCTTGTCAAATTCACCTACCGAAAGACCGTAGTGCTCTCACTCAACAACAACAATTTCGAAAAGCTCTTTATCAGAGCGTACTCGGTATCATCCTTCAGACGAGTAGCAGGGAGCGCAGCTTAAATTTTAACTTTGAAACAGAAGCATCTTTATTGAGGCTAATGTTGCTTTCCTAAGGACTGCAACAGTACAAAAAACATCGAATGAGCTATCACTGATTACGAGCAGTTCAATTTCGTTCACTGGAAAATCAAAAGAACAATAGTGGATCGGTAATTGACCTAAAATTGGCGAAGTTGTGAGTCAATCAATGAATCTGCAGTACAACTCGCTTAGCTGTGGTTCAATCCACTAATGGCATGTCATTGAGTAAAAACCGTGCTCGCACGGTGTACGGAGTTACAAGACCTACTGGTTCAAACACGAATGACACAAACTAGTATCAAGAGTATACGAGTACTTGATTTACTCCTCTGCTCACAATCAATCTGTCGGTGACGTGGTCTCAATTGAAACGGAAAACATGCGATGCGAGTTTCGGAAGGTTTGAATCAGTAATTGTTTTTAGTTTTTAATAGCACTGATTTTGGTAAGTTGAATTTAGTTTCAACGACAAACTTGGACCAACTGGTTTGTTTGTTTGCAAATGCTGGAATCGATTTGTCAAAATACGTCGTTAGTTTTGATATCAATGCTCAAAGTTCATCTGACGAACGGCGATACGCTATATGTGTTTTTAAAGGGGTTCGAACTGATCACATTCGTACATTTCAAGCGGCTGCTTGGGGACAGATTATGACAAAAAGAAGCCGTTCATTAGCATTTTCATTTTAACATCAAAACATCTAAATTCTTAACATATCTCAGGATTTTTTGAGCCCATGCCGTTTTTTTTGTTCTTGACATATTTGAGCAGACACTGATAAGTTGTTCGGCCTCCGCCTAGATGCGGAGCTAATCATTGAAATCAAACGCTGTTGACTGTTTCCAGCATCTCCTAATTGACTGGAAAGACTGGGACAGTTGCATGTTTAGAAGCTCTTTTGAGCTGGCGATTGAGGACTGATGTGGTCTTCAAGTCGTATTGATATTCTGGTGATTTGAAAATGGCGAAAAAAGCTAATATACACGACGCAAAATTGACTATGCATTCTGAGTTGTTCATGTTCAACAGAAGAAACTTTGGTAGCTTTCCAGGATGATGGCATACAATTTTTTTTATTGGCAAAGTTTCTCTCCAGTGTTCTAAACCCACCTTCATACAAAATACTACTGTTTCCGAAATTCGGAGTTGAGTTTCTCGTCTTGCTTCAAACAAGCGTTTTTAGGCAGGTCATTTTGATATCTTTACTTAGGGTCTTCGAGTCAACAGCAGTCTTAAATTGAACAAACTATTCAGAACACTACAAAAGCTTCAAAACTTTCAGATCACTGCAACCGTCACATGGGGACAACTTAATTTCCTCCCTGGAGGGGGACCTCCTTGGCTTAGGGTCAAAATTTTCGCCAAACTTTTTTCGGTGACTCGCTTGATGTTTTGTCAGCGGTTGGCGAGGTTTGTGCGTGATCAGGTTATTTTTTCAAACGGCAGTCGATATCTGAGAGGGATTCAAGCTGAAGCAGCCTGCAAGTTGATATTTTTAACCGGCGGTAGAGGTTCAACCAGTTGTTGAGCTGGCAACTGAGGTTTAACTCAACTCCAACCTCCGTCTCTTCCTGTTTGAAATTCTTGAAGTTCCATTGCCAGGTTTGGCCTGCTCCAAAGCCCCCGACTTTTGAAGAGTCCTCCAGGTATTCAAACTCTTCGATAGTAGTTTTGGCGATTTTTTTCGAAACTTTTTGTGAAAAACGGCTAGTTCTAGTTGAAGCTTTATCGGTTAATGCTGAATGGCTTGTGTTCTTAAACAAAGTTCGAAATTTTTCTGACATTCAGTTTCCTCTGTGTTATAACTCTGCAAAATTGCTTTTTTTGACGTTAAACGCAGCCAATGTATGATCTTTAAATGCCCTGAAATTAGTTCTTTAATTGAAAGGGTTCAATGAGTGTCGAGACTAATCCTTAAATGCCTTGAAATAATTTTACTTAGGCGTACAAGTTTAATGTGTCGGGGTGCATCTTTGGCCGTACCTTTAGACTATTGCTTTATTAGATCTATCACGTTGTCAATTTATGCACTGTTAAGGCCAACAAAGTAAGTCTTGAATTGAATTAGGCAGCGTTTTTGGCAAGCATGAACATGGATTCAAATTCAAAATTTTTCCCTATGTTTTTTCCTTACATTTTTTCAACAAAAACTTTTTCAAAAAATTATTTCGAAGAAGTCTGTCTTTCAAGCGTTTATTTTTCAAGATCACGCTTTTAGTCAAAGTCTATCAAGTTACAAAAACGAATCTTTAAAAAACCAAAAAGAGGTTTGAAGAAAGTTGGATTTTGTTATAAGTTTATTCAAGTTGCTGTCTCATTCTGAGCAAGACTATCAATGCATTACCATTGATCAAAATGACAAAAAAACTAGTGAACTGGGTAATCTTATTCAAAAACACTATGCTTTGTAGTTTCCTACGAACTTAATTTGCTTCTTGACTATTGTAATTGGGACTTCCTGTTTTATTCTGATTAACATTTTCTAATGTTTGGTTTCGACTTAAAAATGTCTTGGTAATTTTAGAAAACTTGGAGAAACAACGGCACAATAATAATAAGTTTAGACTTAAGTTTTTATTTAGACTGCTGAGACGTTTTAGATTTCTTAGATTGAATTAGATTTTTTAGATTTTTTACAGATTTTATTAGGCTGGGTAATTTTAATCTAATGAACTTCTTCTCTGTCGTAGGCTTTTCTTTTTGAATTTGATTGCTTGGTGATTTTGAATCAAAAAGTCTTGTTAGATCAAACCTTCATCAATATCAGGTGCAGGGTGACGTTAGACATAAACAATGACTGCTAAGCTGTTCATTGTCACTCAAATTTGCCACCGATTTTTTTGTTGTTAGATCGTTATCAGTATTCTATCGATTGTCATTTAGGAAGTTAATGATTATATCGTGCCACGTTAAGATTTTTTCTGTACTAGCCGTTCGAGGATTTAAAGACATACACCTAGAAGAGTCAACTGCTGATGTAGTTGAAGTTTCCCTTCTAGTTAACGAATCAAATACCAGGATTCGAGACGAATAGCTGTTTAAACACCGTTTTAGAACCTGATGGTGTTTACGCTCAACCGGTCGCCTTCATTGTCTTGTCCTCTTAATTTTTTGGTCACCATCTTCATCTAAAGTATCATCATCCGTCTTTTGGTTGTATGCTCGCCGTCGTTAAACCTTGCTTTTCCGGCTTTAAGCTTTGATAAATTCTCCATGAAGTCGAAAGTAAATAAAAATGCATCCCTTGACGATAAAGAAAGGCAAAGTGCGCAAGTCTCATGATGTCGCATCATCTGTGTTACAAAATTCAGCATTTTTTTAATGTGAACTTGAGTATTTTGGTCACTTCAAGACGTTTCCAAAGGAGCTAAGAGAAGCAGTGGGGTTTTCCATTTAAATGCACAACCGCACGAGCCGTCCATGTCGAAACCGCATTTTCTGTGGATGGCAGTTCGTGCGTCATGGGTTTTGAAAGGTTAATTGCCCACCGTCAGATTACTGGTCGGAATTTCGTCAGTCTACTGGTCAGATAAGGGCACAAACTTCGTCAGCGCCAATAAGGAACTGCTGGCCTGCATTGAAAAGCTTGGAATCAGCAGGAATCAGCAGGCTTCAAGCCACTTAGCACACAAACGCTTAAATTGGAATCAAAATCAATTACCTTGTGCAACACATCAAGCTGGCTCATGGAAGTGTCTGGTAAAGTCGTCGCTGTGCGTTCTTCGTCACCAATTTTCCGCGTTGTTTTTTTTAAATTCTGGTTTCTTGTCAGATTCTGGCTTCTCGCAACTCCAGCAAAAACTTTCTCATCGTTGCTTGTTAGGGAGCAGTCATATGTTGAACCAAACAAATGCAAAACTTTAATGGGAACCTAATCTCATTTCACTGCTTTTATTTAAAAAAATTTGAAATCCTAGCAATTTTTCTGTTAGAGTAGAGTCATGAAGACATTAAAAAAACTTTCGAGGTTAAGCTGAAAATATGGGAGAGATAGCAAAACTTTGTGTAACATATACAAGACCATGGACGAGAGGCCATGAATGTTTTGTCTGAGCTTCTTTGTGTAGCTTCAGTGTAACTGGCTGTTTTGATTGGCCTCTAAGGACCGCAGAAATTTTCGGCGCAAAATTATAAAGTTTAAAACAGGCATAACTTTTAAATTTTTGAAAACCCATTTGCACTTGTTATCCCGGGTTAGATTAAGATTATGATGATTTAACTACAAGGGAAAAATCAAGCGTTTCAGCTGCGAAATTCTTTACAGGTAACCGCTGCTGCGGCCCTGCTTAAAATGTACATGCTTTTTTTTTACATGTATACAACATACTTACTCATTTTAAGATTAATTTAATTACTAACACACAAAAACTTGATGAAACTGCTTATACAGAAAAACTCAACCAAGAATCATGCAAAAAACTATACAGCTTATTAAGGCTTGAGCTTAAAAAACCTAAGACAGAACTTGCAAGATAATATTGGACCTGAACCGCGCATTTCAAAAAGAAACAAATATATTGCATCAGTGTTATCTTTAAGATAAAGAGAATACATGTTTGAGAATTTGAAAAAAAATAGCATTTAAAGAAATTTTTTGCTTTTACCACTGCATCATTCGTGGTCTCGTTCTTAAGTCGGGAAAAGTTTTGGCTGTATAAGCTTCAGTGATACGTTGAATCTTCCGAGTATCCAAATTAGATGTTTTTTGTGGGCTTTTTCCTCGATTTTGTATTGAAATAAAATGCAAGTATTTGAAGCATGATTAAATTTGTGTTTGAAAGAAATAACTAAAAAAAATTCCTCATGTCGAGCCTTATGCAATCAATCCCTATGATTTTATTTGCTTTGAATAGCAGTTGTAGAATTTCACAAGTATAGAATTTGATAAAAGACTCTATTTCTAAATAGCAAACCCTTGAAATTAGTTAATTTACCGGAATTAAATGGTTTTGATATTCTTTGCTCGAGAATGGGCCTTCTTGGCTTAAAATTTTGCAAAAAACTAAGGTTGAAATGTTAGCTCCACTCAAAAAAATTTTGTGCCGCCCAAAACAATTTTTACGCCTCTGCTTAATATTATCTGTTTTTGTTCCGACGTTGGAAGAAAGTGACAGAATATTTGCGCTCGGGATAGTTTTTTTCTCCAGACAAATTTCGACTTTTTAACTAGCCATTATGCTGGAACTTTTTTATATCATGTGAAAAATAATTTTTTCTTGAGCGCAAGTTTGAAACATATTTCACCTGTGATGATTTTATGCGAAGTTATGGGGTTTAAAATTTGTTGTTTTTCCTTAATTTAGGATAATAAACGCGAGATATATTCCTCGCTCTTATCGCGTAGGCGGAAATTTAATCCGTCTTAGAAATTGTTCCAGGTTGGTTGAAGCAGGCTAATTGACATAATTGATTTGTTACTAGGAATTCAGAATTTGTTCATTACTGAACTTACATATGAACAATTCAAAGCAAGAGCTCAAATTCTTATCTAGAGCAATGCAGAATTTAAAGGTCAGGACGTAACCATTGTCAGTGGAAGCCACGAACAAATCTCAAAACATTTGTTAACTAAATCGGCTGATGTCACATTTTAATCTTTTGGAAACACAATGCCGATTAAGTTCAATATTTGGAGTCATTGCGTTGAGAGTGTATGGAAACTCAACACACAGCATATCACCATTTTAGGTCAATCCCAAACACTGATTTTGGAAGCTTAACGCCAAATAAATTCAAGATTGGTAGTATTTGGCTTGCGAGTGTTTGAAATCGCCGAATAAGGTCAGTATTTGGGATTGCATCAGTATTTGGGTTCGCAGTTTAGATCGAATTAGGTCAGTATTTGGGATGAGTAGGTCAGTATTTGGGATCGAAGTTCAGTAGGTCAGTATTTGGGGTCGAAGTTCAGTGGGTCAGTATTTGGGTTCGAAGTTCAGATCAAATTAGGTCAGTATTTGGGATGAGTAGGTCAGTATCTGGGATCGAAGTTCAGTAGGTCAATATATGGGATAGAAGTTGAGATTGAAGTCGACAGGATTTGAGATCGAAATTGGGTTGGCAGGAATTGAGACCAAACGTTTGGTATTTCAACTCGTAGTTGATCAATGTAGTAATTGAGATTGATTTTTCGTTGACCCGTAGTTAAAAGAAACGCTATAAACCTAAACTCTATACTACACATATACATATATGTAAACGGAATCCGCAAACAAAATGCGGATTCCACTAACAATATTCGGATTTCACTTACACGTTGCGGATTCCGCTTACAGTTGCGGAATCCGCAACAGCTCAATTTAACTATTCAAATGTCTTATTATTTGTTTGTGGATTCCACAAACTGTTCTGGATTACGCAATTACGGTTGCGGATTCCGCAAAATCGCCTATTTTTGGAGCGAATTTGAGCGGTACAGTGTTTTAGGTTTTTTTTGTGGAATCCAAAACAGCGAAGAAGATCAAAGAGAAGTAACAAAGTTGCGGATTCCGCGACAAATCTGATTGTGGTCTGTTGCGGAATCCGCTTACAATGCAATATAAATCAAGTGGAGCAAAATTTTCTCGAAATTAGTTTTCATCATAAGAAGTTTGAATCATCCTATTAGATGATCTCCCTTCTTGTAGTTTTGCTTTTCTTAGGTGACGCCATGACTGACATGCTGTGGTCTGACCCCACCAAGAACTATGGTAACGAGAGTTCAAATGAGCAGTACACCTACAACACTTCTCGACAGGGATGTTCAACAGATCTAATTTACTTTTTTACTCTCCTTATTTCTCAAAATCCATCGTGAACGCTAGGGTTAACAATTGATGCTTTTTACGTATATCAGCAGTGGTGGATTTGGGAAGGGGGGTTTGGCTTAGGACGCCTTTTCTTCAGGGATTCGATCCTCTACCGAGCCAAAGGGTCTTACCTTTGAAACTCTACTAAAACATCCATTTTTGGCGGATTTTGGCCTAAGATTTTTTCTAAGGGCGCCTTTGGCACCAATATTTAATAATTGAGTGGTAGAAAAAACGCAATTTTGGGGTCAAATAAGTGTCTAAAACTGCTTTTTGGCCTGTTTTTTCAATAGGGTTTTCATAGCAATTTGATAAGAGCTGAGAAAATCAATTTGATCGATCTAAAAAAATGTTTTGCGTTGAAAATGTAAAAAAAAATGATCTAAAATTTGTTTTGCATTGCCCAAGATACGGTAATGTTTCTTTTACGTTTTATTACCGTTTTTGTTAAATCTCGGGTTATGATAGGTCCACTGATTCAATTTGAGCCATACGTCAGTCTGCGACCATTCCATTTTGTAAAATCCGGAATCGGAATTGCAAATTTTCTGGACTTGAAGCCGCGAAAGCGGATAAAGTCCTTAATTATACTAATAATTTTTTATTGTCATTTTGAAGTTGACCATCTGTTGAATGTGGAACAGATATCGTACTTCTACACGTACAACGCAGTCTGTGACTTCCTCAAGTTCAATGACCTCATATCGGTGATCAGGGGTCACGAGGCACAGGATGCAGGATACAGGATGTACAAGACAGGCAAGACCTCAAAGTTCCCCTCTCTGATCACTATCTTCTCAGCACCCAACTACTGCGAGACGTACGGCAACAAGGCGGTCGTGCTATGCTACGAAAGAGGCAACCTCAATTTGAAGGTCTGAGCAATGATGTCATGTAAAAACTGATGCGAAGGTTCAAATTTCAGCTTTTAGGACTGTAATTAATAGTCTTCTAGAGAATCGACCATTTTTTCTAAATAATTTTGGAGTAATTTGTTTTTGCAATGAAAATTCTATCTGAAAGTATGTTTTTGAGAAACAATTTTTAAGCTTATCTCTAGTCTTGGTGGATTATTTTAGCTTATTTGTGGCTGCGGATTTTTCTGTTTGGCACCTGAGATAAAGCAAGACATGAAAAAGTAAAGTATCAGGAAAAAAAACAAAAATAAGTTTTAAAAAATTATACAAAAATTAAACCTAACGTAAAATATTTTTATTACTGATCATCAAGGCTTTCCAACAAACCTGATCATCAAACCAGAACAATTTAAATAAAACTTTGAATACAGTTACGGTGTACCGTGTCTGAAATTACTCTATGAGTATAACCAATAGGTCATAACTCAAATATGGGGCTTCGATTCTAATTAGGTTTGAATGCTATCCTTAGATTTTGTTTTTGTGTAGACCTTTCTGAGCCAGCCCCACCCCTATTGGCTGCCCAACTTCCAGAACGGACTGGTGTGGTCTCTCCCATTTGCAGCCAAACTCATCACACATCTCCTGCTGGCATTGTGCCAAGTGTGCACTGAAGTAAGTGTAGTATTACATACAAGATTAACTAAGAAGACAATAAATTATTATTTTTTAAATCATCAAATTTGTTTTAAAAGATTCAGAAAAACTCTAAGAAAGATAGGCCGATCGCAAAACGAGTTAAACGGAGCGACATATAATTTAACCAGAAAATATTAATTCATGCTTCAAAACAAAAAGTCACACTAACAATTAACCATTTAATAAGCAACCATGTTAAAGGAAGAGTTGTCGCGAGCGAGTGAGATAGACGACACCCTGCTGAACAAGATGAAGGCGGTGAGCAAGATGGCTGACTACTATGACCACGTGGCAGACGACAACGATCTCGCTGTCAAAATGAAGGGCAAGTACAAGAGGACTCTTTGTGTATGTATTGATGAATGACTCAACATGAACAGATCGGATTTTCCCGGGTCGAGATCCGCGACTTAAGAAAACACCGGCGCGATCCAAGTTTGGCACTTCAAGACCGACTTAATCGAAAGTTGTCATTTCAAGACCAGCGCAACTGCTGAAAACCTCCGCGACCGGCGCGCTCAAAAAAACCGTCGCGACTGGCGCAAGTTTCTGGACCTGTGCGACTGCTGCAATGGGCGCGACGAAAAAAAACCCAAATTATTTTTTGAATTGCGCCGCCAATCTTTTCTTGAATCTCGCCAAAAAGGTCTTTTCCTAGGTCCGGCTGCCGATGTCTCCTCTTAAGTCGCAACGCCAGATTTTCAAAACATTATGACGCCAAGCTCGGTTTTATAACTAAGCACATGTTTGTGCTTTCACGTGTCTGGATTCACTGACACATCTTTTGCGTGTTTTGAGACTTTTGTCAATGGATTCCACAATCAAATAATCCCCACACAAAATGCCGACAAGTTATTTTTTGTCAATGGATTCGGCAGACAAACGTGTTTTGGCCGTTGAAGTGGATTCCATTAAATGTCGTTGGATTCTACTGTTTGTCAGTGGATTCCGCAGCCAATTTTTCTTTCTGTCACTAGATTTCTCGAATACTTTCTTAACTGTTTAAACGTGTATCCGCGCGGACCCATTTTTTCCTCACCTGATTTATATCTTGTGTAACAAACTTCTTACCTTGACCCGCCGCCACTCTTTTCTCAAGTCGCGCCGCCAAAGTTTTTCTTTAAGTCATACAGCCAAGTTTTTCTTGAATTGCGCCGCCGGTATTGGCTTGAGTCGCGGCACCAGTAAAATGGTGGTAGACTTAGAAAAACCGTGGCGACGCGACACAAGAAAAAACTGGCGGTGCAATTTAAGAAAGTATTGACGGCTCGGCTCAATAAAAACCTAGTGGTGTAGCTTAAAACAAGACCGGTGGCACGAATTGCGAAAAAACTGATGGCGGGCTTGGTAAAAAACTGACAGCGTGACTTAAGAAAAGAGCGTCAGTGCGACTAAGCAAAATAAAACTTTGAGCCCGAAAAAAAAAAACAAGCGCCGCGAGTTAATAAGAAGACAGGCGTCGCAACTTAGAAAAAACTGGCTTCGGAACATAAAAAAGACTGGTGCGACTTAAGAAAAGACTGGTGGCGCGACCTAAAAATAAACTGGTGGCGGCCCGAACTAGAAAAAACTGACGGCACGACCAATTAAAAACTGTCAGGGCGAATTAATAAAATACTGGCGGTGCGAGTTAGAAAATGGCTGGCTTCGCAACTCAAGAAAGAACTACTAAAAAAAACTGACTAGTGGTCCTATACAAACTGTCGACGGGACTTAAGAAAAATTGTGATTTAAAAAAATCACTTGTTGAGTACAAAAGTTTTGTACTTTAAAGAAACAAATACCTGTATCTTTTGCCTTTTCTTTGTTTTATTCTCTATGGAATTTCAATCAACTTTGCCCGTTATTTTTCTCGGACAGATGTCTAAGATGAAGTGTAGCTTTTATTTGCGACATTTTAACAACTTTCGCGTGACATAACAGGAGATGGACGGCGCTACTTAGTAAAACACTGGCGGCGCAGTTTAAGAAAAAATTGGCGCCGCGACTTTAGAAAAGACTGGCCTCGCAACTTAAGTAAAGACTGGCGCCGCGACTTAATCAAATACTTAAATACTGGCTATGCGACTTAAGAAAACATTGGTGGCGCAATTTAAGAAAATACTAACGGCGTGACCTAAGAAAACACTGGTGGCGTGACTTAAGCAAAGACTGACGGCGCGGCTTAAAGAAGACTGGCGGTGCGACCTAAAATGACTTTATGGTGCGAATTTAACCCGCCCGCGTCGTACAGTCTTTTCTAGGTCGCAACGACCGTCTTTTCCGAAGCCCCGCTTTCATTCTTAAAACCTTTAAAATTCAATCTGCAAGATCATCGGAGTTTACAGGGCTTCAAGAAGAGAATCGGCTACTGTTTTAATCTTAATGGAGCCCAACTGATTATTGGAGCTTTATGGTTTATTGCTACCTGTATTTTAAGGTCTGAGTGACAATGAGCAGTTGAGGAAGGATATTTTGACGGGGGAGGAGAAGAGTAAAGAGGCGAGGGTGGTGCAGGCGGGACGGAGACTCTCCTTCCGAGAGGCTCAGAAGCTGGACTCGGAGAACGAACAGATGCCCACCAACGATACTTGTGAGTACAGATTAATTTGGGCGTCAACAACTACCGTTAAAAGAGTTAAACACACCAAAAAATTTTTGCAATGAAACAGAAGTAGCCGGTTACAGTCGAAAAGCACAGGATGCTCCAACCACAATAACAAAAAACAAATAAAAACAATTGGCGTCGCTTTCTTCCAATGGTGTCGTTTTATATTCGAGTCGTAATTTTTTTGTCTCTTATATAGGTCGTGATGATTTTATCCCGTTTTTTTTTCAGGGAGATTTTTTTTGGCAACAATCATCTTTATTTTTTGCAGTTTGACTTTTGATTTCTTTTGAAGTTCACTTTTCCCTTGTTAAAAGTGAAAATCATAAATGACTTCTAGTTTCAAAATTGGACTTCAATTTTGACTTCGAAAAGGGAATAAGAGGAAGAAAAAATACCTATTGATCCAGTTTTCTCTGAAACTCAAAGAAAACTTGACATATAATTTTCTCCAAAAATCGAAAATTGAAATTGATAAAAAATGTTTATACTTTTCTAACCATCGGTTTTCGTTTTTGCAGCCTCTGTTTCTTCTGCGAATAGTTCGGCGGCAGGCTCTGTCGCGGGATCAACCGCCACGGGAGGCACTAAGAAGAAACGAAAGCGGAACAAAAACAAAAGCAAGAAGTCGTCTCCGCAAAGTAGCAAATGAAACAAAACCACTTCAGCTAATCTTAATGTAGTTTCAAACTCAGTCCTGAGCTCACACAAAGAGGAAAAAACTTGATTAAAAAACCCAGCGTGACAAATTCTAGTAAAAAAAATTACTGATTGATTGAATGGCCCAATCATTTATTTTGATTTCATAAAAAAGTTCAAAAAATTTCTTAAACCCACTTCGCTAAATTAGGACTTAATTAAAAGAAGATCAAATAAAACAATTATTGCAACAAGAGTCGTTTTGAACTTAAACATTTTGTAGGTAGTCGAGTCAACGCTTTTGTCGGAGTCTTTCTTTTCAGCAAAAGTGTTCGATATGTATCCCCATTTAAAGATTTGTGAGAAACATCAGAAATTCGCTACCGAAACAAAACCGGCTTTGAAAATCAGATTAAGACGATTTATCCGAAAGAAAGCTGACGAAAGAAAGCACCATCATACGAGCTGTTCAAGTTTTTACGGAGAACCGCTGTTGCACCCCTATTTAAGATCTACATGCGATTTTTTTGGCCTGGATAAAATTTTTTCATCATCATGCATCAATCACGGATCACAGTGAGCCCAGAGCCTCCGACCTTTCAATTGAGAAGCCGCGTTTCTCCCCAATTTTGTTCAAAGCAATTTATGACGGAAACAAACCCGACTTACACTGTTGTCGCGTTTGTACAGGGACCAATCATAACAATTAGCTGAGAATAAGACTTTGTGACCGTTATGCTTCCCATCAAAAAAACTTTCAATCCTTAGATATTGTCTAGGCACTTCAGAAAACGAGAACAATACTTTTCAAATGATTTGAAACTGCTTTGACTGCCATGAACGGAAAGCAAAAGGCGACAAAATTGAGTTGTACCACGAAAAAGCTGTTACAACAGTGCATTAGGCTGCCTCAAATATCATTTGTTTAAGAAATTTGATATAATTAAAACACAAAAAAGCAATTTGTTTCCGAAATCTCCCCATCCCACACACACAACATACACGCCCGCACCCAATACAAGTCACAAGGGGATACGGTTACCCTAAAATAACATAATACTTGGATTGATTAGCGTGCCTCAACTTAATTTAAATGTAAAAAGAGAAAAAAATCGATTGTTTCACAGTTATAACTGTACTTTTATCAAAATTATATTTTAGATGTTTAAACTGGGGCTAGGTCTTTTACCAGACCGACTCATTACCAGACCAAACTAAATTTTGCTTACAAACCGTGAAAAAAATGTCTTTAACCAGACTAAAAAGCTTCATTGCATTTGTCAATCAAATTTCTTTATCGAGTCTGGTAAAAGGTCCATGTTATAACTTTTCGCGTAAAAGGTCGGTCAGGTAAAAGGTTGGTCCCCGTTTGAACTATTTATAATCCATTATAATGATAAAATTTTTGTGACATTATAATAAATTATAATCATTTATAATTGATTATAATTTTTCTGAAAATATTTTATAATCTCTTATATTCTTTTACAATTTCTTGTAATCTAATATAATCTATTGAACAAAAGTTTTACCACGAAACAAAAGTTCATAGAGATCCCATCATATTAGTTGAGAGAATCCCGCATCCCGCGGTAGGTGAATTATAATTCTTCTATAAATCATGAAACTAAAGCTGTGTGCAGATAATTTGGTGATGACAAAAACTTTAAATATGCATCATGAAACAACTATAAACAAGAAGAAATGAAAAAATAAAACCATTATAAATATGAATTGATTCGAAAACTGTTAAAACATTTTTCCACACTTTCACATAAGCCAGCATTTAGGAAAAGGATAAAATATAAGCCATTCATGTGCAATGTTGAAGACACAAGGGGCACACAAAAGGAATTATAAACAATCATAATCGTTTATAAGGGATTAAATCTGCAAAAGTAATGATTTAAAAATCGTATAAAATTAATCGATGAAATCGATTATAATATATTGTAATTGAAAAATTTTCATTTCAAAAAGAGAGATTATCATCAATTATAAATTGATTAAAATCAATTTTTTCTCAATTTTTGTAAGAATGTTACTAAAATCAAATTATAATCGGTTATTAGCGCTTGAAACCGGATTCGGGTACAGTGCTGATTGAAATTATCCAGACACAACACACAAAACTTGAAAT